CTCTCTCTCTCTCTCTCTCTCTCTCTCTCTCTCTCTCTCTCTCTCTCACACACACACACACACACACACACACACACACACACTTCTTCCCACTGATCTCAGGACAGAAGAATTTATGACCAAGAGTATCGCTGTTTGTGCCTACCCTAGGAAAGAAAAGATGGCCAGCCCTAGGCAAGCATGAGACAGCTGTCCACCAGAGCTTCGTTCTCAGGTCCTGACAGGGTGCCAGGGGTGGTAGAGATTGAAGGCCAACAGGAGAGAGCACAGAATTCAAACTCCGGCATTCCCGCTCCGAGGTGTTATGCTCCACAGCTGCCAGACAGAGGCTGAGCTCTGTCCCCTGGCAGTCACCAGGTCCGCTGTGTTTACCTTTGTCTTCCTCTGCTGGTGACCCACAGGCAGCTCCCCAGGGCCGCTGGTGTCATGTATCAGGGAAGCTAAGGCAAGCTCCCTGGCATCCATGTTTTTTTCTTCCTGGCTCCAGGACCCTGGACTTGCCAGGGCATCTCTGCAGTGAGGAGGCAGAGTCCACAGGAAGGCGGGCAGAACAGGAAGCGTGGCTGTGTGATCATGCCAGAACAGGAAGCCAGCAACTTTGCTCCCCTGCTCCCAAGCAACTGAGACAGCTGCTCTCCCCGGAGTCACACCCAAGTCATGGTTTTTTTGGTTTCATTTTGTTTGGTTTGGTTCTTTTTTCTCCTTCAGGATTCTCTCCAACAAGGCCAGAGCTCTGGCTGGGGCAGTCGGCACAAACCCAGAGAAACCTCCTAAGAATTAAAGCCAAAGGTCATTGGCTTTCTCCTTAGAAGCTGGGTGGGTTCCAGCGCTGACTCTTCCTCTTAACTGTGTCCACCACGGGCAAGTCTTGACAGTGTTCCGAGCTTCCATTTTGCCAGGGCAAAATGAAATATTGATCTTTCTCTAATTGTCCTGAAGAATCCGTTCTGCTGCGCAGAGCAGCATGCAGCAATGTCTGTGGCCCTCTCTGCCAGTCCTAACTGGCTCAATAAAAGCATAAAAAGACAACGACCTTGTATACACCAGGACAGCCTGAGAATCAATTACTCTGTGGCCAGTTTGCTCCAGTGTTAGTCAGAGAAGTATCTTCAGTGAGCTATGGTCAGGACAGGCTGTATAAACTATATGTTTTGAGAGGCTGGGGGGTGGGGGTACAGAAGCGGGCTGAATCAATGAAGAATACATAGGAGGTGAAGGGCAGGGTTCAAGTCCCCACACAGGACTCTGAGAAGCTATGCGTAGTGGAAAAGACAAAGAATGTGAGAAAGGAAACTTCTGGGGATGTGATTGTCACATGCACCTGAAGGCATCCAGCCCCAGTTGAGACAATGCTGTCCGGGGTAACCACACCGGGCAAGAAAGCCCAGCCTCAGTTCTCAGCCAGGGATTCACAGAGTCCAGGTCATTGCACAGCCTGATATTCTTCAGCCAGGGACACCTGCAGGCACAGATAGCTGATGCTGGGGACAGACAAAAAGACAACATGGCTGGGGTCTACGGTGCAGGAGGGGTCAGCGGAAGAGTCAGGGATAGCCACACTCCTTCACACTAAGGACTTCACAGTCATGGTCTCCTTTCTTCCTCACCCACTACCCAGCTTCCTTCTGTACTGTTTTTTTTCCCCACTGCAACAGTTCACATCAGCTATTAAAAGCTTACTGAGATTGCATCAGGTGACCCCATCCAACTTAAAATTTCCCTGGTTTCCACTGGACAAGCTCAATCCTGTACCAGGATACAGGTGTCAACATGCACATGCAAGAACAGCTGGGCGCTATATCAGAGAGGGTGCCAAGGCCCTGTGTCACCCCATTGGCTGTCTTGGGGAACTAACTGGTATTTTACCCCACCCTTATCTTGCTTATTGTTGAGGACGGGATCCATGAAGGTCAGATGTCCCTCTTCAGATGAGTTATCTCAAATCAAACCTTAGAGGGCTGCCAGGGTGACTGAGAGATGACCTTTCTCTCTCTCTCTCTCTCTCTCTCTCTCTCTCATATATATACACACATACACACACACACACACATACACACACGAAATGATAGTTGATAGTTACTATGGTAACAATAGAAAAGAACCATAGGAGGAAGAGATAATGCTCAAATTCCTTGAAACCCCCATCTATTCTAGAAAAACATGGATATTCCTTGACTTACTAGTTTCTCCACTTCTGTTCTTTGCCAAGAACACTTTGTCCAAGAGAACTGAATGGGGGATTAGGTGTCCATGTAGAGGTTACAGTGGGGTTAATTCGGCTGTAAGCTCAGTGGGGAGGGGATCTTCTCAGCTGCTAAGTGTTAGGTTTGAGCCAAGCAGACTTGGTGTTAGCAGTCATCCCACAGTGGAGTGCAGGGACAGGTCTGTGCTAGGCTCCCTGGAGCCTCCAGACTTTAGGTTCTGATAAATCCCAGATGTGGGGCCACTTGCTATCTCTCTGCCTCCTGCAGCAGGTCTCTGAGTTGATTCTGATGCTCCTCTCTGATGCTACAAAGAGGCAAACAGCCTGTCTAAAACTGTAAGGCAAGCTCCCTAGCTGTTCAAACTCCAGGAAAATAACAGGGACTAAGGAAACATAGAGACCTCAGATATCAAAGGGCTAAGGCACCCCCCCCCCAGTGAGGCTCTTAGGTGGCTTTTCTCTACAGTGACTCCCCCTACGCACTAGATACCTCATTTCCCCACAGTGTAAGTAGATCCCCAATCCCTCCCCTTCCGAATCGCTTTAAAGCAGCCTCCCATATCTTCCCCAGTGCTCTGACATTGCCCCTGTTCCTTCGCTCTTCTTCTGGACCCCTGCCATGTCCTGTCTGGCATTAAATCAATCTTGTTGCCTGAGAGGATGATCTTTGTCAGTCTCCTCTAGCCTATTGGGGAATCTTCTACTAAGGACTTCTTAGAGGCAGAATCAGGTAGAGCAGGGATGGATTTCAGTTCATGCCTATTGAAACTTCGAGTGAGCGTGTCCATAAGTGCATGCATGCATGTAGTATGTGGGGGTGGGGTATACACATAGCACGTAGTCCAAGGGTGGATGTCAGATGGCTTCCCCTCATTTTCCACCTTATGTTTTGACACAAGATCTCTCATGGAATGTGGAACTCCCCAATTCCTCTAAGCTGGATGGCTTGTGGGTTCCAGGAATCCAGTAGTTCCCATCTCTACCTCAGCACTAGAGTTACAGATGTGCACCTCCCACCGCTTCTGACGTTTTCTTGGGTTCTTTACAGCAAATAGTTTGCCATCTGAGCCATTGCTCCAGCTTATTAATGTATCTTTAGTTTAAGGACAACTACCACATTGTTGTCATCATCAATGTCCCCTATTTGCCCTTCGGAATGAGGACCCTCACAGTAAGTGCAGGGAGCTACAGCATGGAGAGACATAGAGATGATGACCATCTCTCTGCAGAACCCATCTCAGACCTATGCATAGTCCACAGCTTCCCACACTGTGTCACCTCAGCCCCCTGCTCTCTCCTGTTGTCATGACAGCCTCACGCCCCTGGAGGAGGGAACATGAATACCCTGGTTACCAGAAGGCACAGGAAAAGGAGGAACAAGGAAGTAGGACTGGCCACCTTCCTCCTCACCCGCTGGCTTTGTTTGTTTTCTGCTGGGTCCTTCTCACCGAACTTCATGGTCTTGGGTTTCCGTTATTCCTAAGAGCAGAAGAAAGGATGCCATTAACCACCTGCTGTCAACGATGGGCAAGCCAGTGGAGCTGGCAAGGAAGGTTACTCCAGCTATTCAGGAAACTGGGACCACAAGCTCTAGGCCCTACTGGTCTGCACAGTGAGTCGAGGCCAGTCTGGCTTGGTGAGAAATTGTCTCAGAATAAAACCTTTTTTTTAAAGGGGCTGGAGATGTAGCTCAGTGGTAGCACACTTGCCTAGCATGCACAAAGTCTTGGGTTCAAGCCACAGTACTCTACACACAGAAAAAGAGGAAGTCACAGGATGTTGCCAAAAGATGCTCTCAGGCAAGGACACCAGGATGAGACATTGCAGTATCCTCACTTGACCTCAGATCCCTGGGGAGACTTGGTCCCCTCTGGCATGTCTCCATTTAGGGAACATGAGACAGGGCAATGGCTGTGTTTCCCACACCTGCCTCCTAGCTTACAGAATGCAGGCTGTTCTCTGCAGCATCCTCTCTCAGAAGGTCATGCTCACAAGGGCACATGCTGGAAGCACCAGACTGTCTGTCTCCAGAGGGAGAATGAAGCCAGTGGAAGTTAAGACAAAATGTTGAGTCTCACCTGTCAAGTTATCATCACAAAAAAAAACAAAAACAGAAACAAAAACAAAAAAACAAAAAACAAAAAATGGTAACCCAAATCCCCCGGTGACAGGAGTGCTAAGCCTTGCCAGTTTTCTAGAGTTGTGAAATGTTTTAGAGCGTCAGACCAATTTGTATGCTTTAGCTAAACTTGTCCTAGCGTTTGTAAAATGTTATCCTGGGACAAGAAAAAAAGCAAAGCACAAAGGTTTCAACTCAAAGCTATTCATTGCAACATTTTCCACATTGAGAAATGGTATTTGCAATGGTGACGGTGTGGTGTATTGTGGGGTCTTGGCCTTGGTTGGCTTCATTTTCATTGCCAGTTAAAGAAGCAGGAGAAATCTCAGACAAGGCAGACAGAATCAGCCCATGAAGAAAGGCTTTTATTAGGGGTGAGGAAATATACACACAGAGAGCTACACACACACACACACACACACACACACACACACACACAGAGAGAGAGAGAGAGAGAGAGAGAGAGAGAGAGACAGAGACAGAGACAGAGACAGAGACAGAGACAGAGAGACAGATTCCAAAAGACCCTCTGTGAATCAGAGGGGGGATTCAGGAAGCCAAAACCCATTCTCTGCTTGAATATTAGGGCTTTAAGGATCTTCACAGGTGTGTGCATGGGTGTGTCTTTCTCCCCTAATTCAGGGTTGGTCAGTTTGAACAAAGAAAAGGAGGCTGGTAGGCCCAAACTTTTTGAGTAAGCACGTTCTGAGCCTGCCTCAGACCATCAGACCAGTACACAGTTGAGGATCCCTGCTGGGCAGAAAAAAAATTCACCAGGCCGTAAGACAGCAGTTCTCAACCTGTGGGTCCCTTTGCAGGGGTGGAGTGGGGTGAGGTGTCAAACAACCATTTCACAGGAGTCACCTAAGACTATTGGAAAACACAAATATTTACATTACAACTGAGAATAGAAGCAAAATGACAATGATGAAGTAGTAATGAAAATAATGTTATGGTTAGGGTCACCACAACATGAGAAACTGTATTAAAGGGTCACAGATTTAGGAAGGTTGAGAACCACTGCACTAAGCGTTTTACTTCTGGTAGAACCTGAAGAGGAAGAACCTGGAAGAATGCCATTTTTAAACAACTGCTTGTGGCCCCTTTTTCTATCTATCTGTCTGTGGGGGGAGGGGGTCTGTCTAACTGCTAGTCCAAAGACAAGAAATGTTTATGTATGTCACAGTTCATCCATAGGGGCAAGTGTATGTGTGTGTGTGTGTGTGTGTTTGCGCGCGCGGGTGCGTGTGTCTGTGTGTCTATGTGTCCGTGTGTCTGTGATGTGGTGTGTGGTATGTGTGTGTTGTGTGTTCTCTGAGTGTATTACATAGTGCCTGTGCTTGTGCGTGGGTGTGTCTGTGCACACTCGTGTACTCCGAGGCTAGAGGTGTCAATCATTCTCCACCTTATTTTCTGAGACCAGATTGCTCACAGAGTCTAAAGCTCACAGGTCTGGATGGATGGCCAATAAGCTCTGGGGACCCTCCTGTCTCTGCCTCCCCTGTGCTCAG